AGAATGCTGGGAGGAAGAGGAAGTGAGCTCAGAGGCCATGCTCCCCTCTCCCGGGCAGACATGATGAAGCAAGCTGCCAGGTCACACATGCTGAATCTTTCCTGGTAAGACTGGTGCTACACAGATTACTAAAAATGGGTTAAGCAAAATATGAGAATTAGCCCGTAAGAGGCTAGAGCTAGTGGGCCAAGCAGTGTTTAAATGAATACAGTTTGTGTGTTGTTATTTCTGGTGTAAAGCTAGCTGTGCGGGAGCTGGGCAGTATGAAAAGCAGGCCCGCAGGGCATAAGCTAGCTAGCGGCCAGGAGCCAGACAGCCGGGAGCTGGGGCGGCAGGGAAGCAGCCCGCAGCTCCCACAACACTTCAGGGTTCCTGCTTCATGAAAGAACTGCCAGACATTTTGGAGAACACATAAGAAAGCAACTAATAAACTTTGCCAGTAAAAGGCATAAGAAATCTTCAAATTTCCTACTTCGTGGAAATGTCTGCCAGAAACTACAGGCCTGTAGGCTGAAGATGGATGCCTCAATAGTACAGAAGAACTTGGGGTGACTGTCCAGGCAGCGAGATGTCTCTGTCAATTCTAGAGTTTTGGAAGTTGATTACAATGCATTTCCTGTTTGCATTTCCTGTTTGCTTAGGTAATATTATATTCTTCTGGGGTCTTTGATAGAATTGAATAGGTAGTTATAATTATAGTTTTCCTTAGTTATGATAAAAAGTGGGTTAGATATAAAACTTTAGACTCCCAAAGATAGGATAGATGATAGAGTATTTTCCATAATTTGCCAAATGTAAAAAATACCTGTTTTGTTGTATATAATCTTGCTATGTTAAAGTTAAATCCTTCCTTTTAATTTAGCACAGATTAATGGAGATGGGTTAGTTTAGGATATAAGAGCTAGCTAGAAAGACGCTTATGCTATTGGCCAAACAGTATTGCAAATAATATAGTTTCTGTGTGATTAGTTTAAGTCTGAGCAGCCAGGGAGCTAACAAGTGTTCAATATACAAATATATATTACTGTATCTGTTCTTATTTGCCCCTTAGTCTCCCTCCTCTTTCCTGCCTCTCTCTCGTTCAGCCCCTTCCTTACCCAGTCTCTCTTCTGCACCACGTCCCCTATACATGTACATATAATTATGTGGATAATCAAATCTCGATTTTCATGTGAGAGATGTGATATTCTCTCCCATAACTGCTCCTCCCTTTACATCTTTCCTCTTTGCCTATAGTGCCCACTCTAGTTAATGCAATATATACATATATTAATATTTAAATATAGATCCCACCTATGAAAAAAACAAGCAGTTTTTGTCTCTCTTTGGCTAACTTTGCTTAATATGATATGCAATTCTAACCATGTTCTTACAAATAATTTAATTCCAATCTTTATGGCTGAACAATATCCATGCGTATACCCCGTCTGTACTATTACTTTGTTGGTTGGTGGACAGCAGGGTGGCTTCATATTTTGGCTCTTATGGGTAGGGCCGCAATAACCATGGATGTGCACTCTGATGCATGCTGGCTGAGATCCCTTCAGAGACAGAAACAAGAATGGTACCTGGAAAATTTCATGGTTCTACTCTGAGCTCTACAGGAGCCTCCGTGCCAATTTCCAGGTGGCTCTGGCAGTCTACATTCCAACCCTCAGTGGGCACAAGTCCCTCCTCCACTGCCTTCTCGACAGCACTTTTTGGCCTTGGCTTTGTTTCCTTCTATGTTGACTTTATGTGCGTGGGTGTTTGCCTCCATGCATGTATTTATGTATATAGCATGTGTGCCTGTTTCCCATGGAGGTGCAAAGAGGACCCCATAGGACCGGATTTAGAGATCATTTTGAGCTACCACATGGATACTGGGAGGTCAATCTGGGTCCTCTGCAAGAGCAACAAGTGTTCTTACCCACAGAGTCATCTCTCCAGCCCTTCATTTTTTCTTGGTGATAATACGATCTCAGGGTGTTTTTAATTTTCAATTCCCTGATGAGTAAAAATTATGAATATTTTTTCATGTATTTATTAGCCAGCTTTGCTTTTTTCTTCTCTCTTTTTACTTTCAGTGTCTTAGAGACTGGGTTTCATGCAGCCCACTAGCCTGAAGCTGCTATGTGGCTAAGGATGACTTGGGCCTCAGGCTCCTCCTGCCACTCTTCTGAGCACCAGGATTACGGGCACACAGAGTGCCAGCTTGAGGCTCTTTTGCGATTTGTCTGTTCAAGTAACTTGACTATTTACTAAGTAGATGATCTGTGTATGTATGTCTAATTTTTAGAGTTCTTTATAGATTCTAGCCAAATATCCTCTCTGAACAGAGTTGACAGTGATTCTCTCCCATTCTATAGGCCCTTTATCCTGCACACATATACAAAAGAAAAAAATCAATGAAACCCATCATCTAAAAAAAAATTTAAAGTATTGAAATTGCAAATACATATATGTTCTTTTGCAAAACATGAAACTACACTATGATTCATAGAGCTTCTAAGTGATCTTTAATAGCCAAAAAAAAATTTAGAGAAACAAAAAAAATTGAAGTCTAATACTTAAAAACTACAATCCAAACCAGTGCAGTAACAGCATACAGGCAAACATACAGGACAATGCTACAGAGAGCCCAAAGATACCCTTACACGTGGTCAACCACAGACCAATACTACAGAACAGAGATCCCAGAGACACCCTTACACGTGGTCAAACACAGACCAATACTACAGAACAGAGATCCCGGAGACACCCTTACACGTGGTCAAACACAGACCAATACTACAGAACAGAGATCCCGGAGACACCCTTACAGGTGGTCAAACACAGACCAATACTACAGACAGAGATCCCGGAGACACCCTTACACGTGGTCAAACAATTTCTAACTGGGAAGACCAGACAGTTTAATGAGAAAGGACAGTCTTTCCAGCAAATGGTTCAGGAAAGTATTTACCCACATGCAGAATGATGAAATTGGACCCTTAACTTACACCACATACAAACCCAAACTGAAGGAAAGATTCAGACATCAGATCTAAGCTGCTTAAACTTAGAGGGAAGAAAAATCATCATAAAGGAAAACCTTCATGTTGTTGATTTGGCAACAATGTCTTATATATGTAATCAAAACCAAAAATAATAAATAAACTGGTACTACATAAAACCTGGAACTTTTAAGTCGGGCGGTGGTGGTGCACGCATTTAATCCCAGCACTCGGGAGGCAGAGGCAGGCGGATCTCTGTGAATTCGAGGCCAGCCTGGTCTACAAGAGGTAGTTCCAGGACAGGAACCAAAAGCTACAGAGAAACCCTGTCTCAAAATTTAAAAAAAAAAAAACCTGGAACTTTTGGACTGACGGGATGTAACTAAGTGTTAGAGCATGGGCTTATATACGTAAGTACTTAAGTTCAATGCCCTGTACTACCCAAGGCTGTAGGTAAAACATAGAGCAATTGTCTGGTACACATGAGGTCTTAGTGTCAATCTCCACACACAAGGGAGCAACACTATTGCCAGACTGAACAGACCACAGGAAAAGAAAAATATTTACAAATCATATATCCGGTGAAATGTGAATTTAGCACAGAAAGAACTCCTAAAATTTAATGGTGAAAACAAATGAATGTAAAAATGGCAGAAGACTATAATAAACAGGACTCCAAAGTAGATACACAAGTGGCCAATAAAACTATGTCACAGCAGTGATGGAAGCCCAGGCCTTTAATCCTAAAGGCAGAGGCAGGTGGATCTCTGTGAGTTCAAGGTCAACCTGTTCTCCAAGGGTCCAAATCAGCCAGAGCAATATAGGGTAACAATGTTTCTAAAAGAAAACACAAAAAACTATGCAACAAGACAATTTTTTAGGTAACTACAATTCATAAAATAATAACACTCTATTATCACCAAGGCCCCATTATCTAAAAATAGAAAACACGGTTAGCAAAGCTGTAGAAGGTAGCGGAAGCCATAAACACTAACAGGCTGTAAAATGGTACGGTTGGTATATAAAACTGTAGAGTAGTTCCCAAAAAACTTAACATGGAATTGCCACATGATTCTCCAATTCTGATCCCAAGAATGCACCTAAGATGGTCAAATACTCATTGCCAAAAGGTGGAAGCAATCTAAACGTCCATTAACACATAGAATCTTGTTAATGTACACATACAAAGAAATAGTGTTTGTGCTACAACATGGATGAGACTTGGGAACACTGTGCTGAGGCAAACAAGCCAGAAAGGAACAAACGCCACCCTCTTCCACTCACATCGGCACCCACACCAGTCAGAGTCCAAGACAGGAAGCAAACTACAGGCTACCCAGAGCAGAAGGAAGGAGAGAATAGTGACTGCTTACATTTTACAAGATTTAAAAAGAAATTATGAAGATAATGGTGATGGTGATTATATAATAATATAAATAAGCTTAGTGCCACTGAGCTCTACACTTAAATATCACTCAAACAATAAACTGATTATATTTTTGTGACTGATATAATATAACAACTAGGCAGAACCCAAAAGACTAAAGTAGGATCACAAACATGATGCTAACAGCCAGCCCAAGGTCACCTTGGGATATTTAGCAAAGCCCCGTCTCAAAGACAGCCAAGGAAGGGGAGACCAGAAGCCCCACCAAAAGCCCTCAATCTTTATTGTGGTATATGACCAACATAAAACAGTGTTATAAAATGTCAGTCTAGGCCGGGCGGTGGTGGTACACGCCTTTAATCCCAGCACTCGGGAGGCAGAGGCAGGCGGATCTCTGTGAGTTAGAGACCAGCCTGGTCTACAGAGCTAGTTCCAGGACAGGCTCCAAAGCTGCAGAGAAACCCTGTCTCGAAAAACAAAAAACAAAAACAAAAAAAATGTCAGTCTACCAGCTCTCCACATTGTGGGCCTTATAATCCACTATTCTCATTGAATGCTTGAAATAAATCTGAGGTCTAGCATCTTCCTAACACAAATTCTTACGACAATAACCAGGTTTTTTAAAGCAGGAGACGTACCTGATATAAAGCAAGAGAGTGTCCATATCTCTGGAGAGGTCCCCTTGACACAGCTCCGACATTCCATATACTGCTCTCCAAATTGTAACTAAAACAAGACAATAAACCATATTAGCAAGCTAAAATTCCTTCCAGATCTTTAATTTCTGTATCTGTTTCTTCCGCTGAATCCAAATTCTCTTTAAGTCAAAAAGAAGTAGAACTAATAATTTCATGGACCATGCTAGAAATTGTTAATAAAGCTCCAGTCAAAAAAAAAAATACCTGCTCTTAAGATTCAGTTATTCACACGTACAACATACAGGACTTGAGAGACAGACATTCTCAGTGGCTAAGAGTACTAGTTCCGGCAGAGTACTAGTTCCGGCAGAGACCGTCTGTGACTCCAGTTCTGCAGGATGCAGCGCCCTCTTCTGACCTCCACAGGCCCACATGCGGCACACACACACACACACACACACACACACTAAGCAAAGCACTCATACACATAGAACTTAAAACTCTAAATTTTAAAAAGTCCAAACAGATACATGAACTTGAGTAGAGAATTTATTGCTAGAATTAGTGTAATTGCATTTAATAATTGCATTGAACTTAAAAATAATGAGTTCTTTGCTTTCAAATTTTAAAAAAAAAATCCAGTTTTTCTTGGAAACAGAAGAAAAATCCCTCCTTCTTGACTTTTCACAAAATGACTTTTTATAGTAGCCATTTCCTTGGAGTATTTATGCTTATCCTCTATACATATGTATCTTGAAAAAACAATTCATCAAGAGTTATGTATTTCCTATGTATAAACAGAACCTGCTTGCCAATGATTCTTTTAAATTGTACAAGATGCATCTGGTAGTGGGAAGGCTTTCGTAGAAGCAGGCTGGCCTTGCATCACGTGACACGTTAGAAGGCTCCCTAGATGTCTGTTGTGTGTGAACACTGAGCTCTAAACCAAGCCCCTGCAGTGCTTAGCACTCAGACCCTGGGCAGAACAGCATGACACCCCACACTGGACACGAACTTAGCCGAGCACACAAGCAGCAGCGCCCCCTACCCCCGGGAGTCCAGGCACCTCCAGTGACCTCCGCTCCAGACGCGCTCAAGGTCCCTTGTGCTCTGGATCCAGCAACACTAGACAACTCCCTATCTTCCCTTTGTTTTGTATGTGGTGTTTGCTTCTTCCTTTCATCTTACTGGATCAGCACACGTCTATAAAAAAGATAAAAATGTAGCCGCACTTCCCCTCCAGGCTGGCCCTGTGCTGCTCCGCAGCCCCCACCACCTGTATCCCCATTCTCTCCTAACAAACTCCACCCGACCACCCCGCAAACTGTTACAGTGAACATCTTCACAACAACTCGTGGCCACTTTCTGTCTTGGCTAAGGGTCGTCATTTGATGTAGGTGGCTTCAATTCTCGATTCGCTTCCCTCTGAAGACACTGCACGGGGTGACTTCCCTACAGGTCTGGTCACTCCCTTCCAGACTGTCTGCTGATTTCTCTTCCCCTCCTAGTGAGATGTGTTCCAGCTCTCATAGAAAACTCACTCCCCGGATAACCTCCTTCTAACTGGATCCCTGTTTCCACTCTTCTCCCCAAACGCCCTACGTTCTGAGTCAAAGGGTCAGAGGTGCACCAATCGGCTCCCTCCTCCAAGCCTCCACTCGGTCTCCCTCAGGCTCCCCCTGACCTTCATTCTTTCCTCCCGTGGTTCTCACCAAATCACACAGCTGCTCTGCTTCCTCTTTCTGTGCCGACACCTGACTTCAGTGCCACTGCTGACTCCCTTTTTCAAGTCTTTCCTCAGTTTTCAACTTTCTTGTGCTTGGCTCCAGCACTGCAACTCCCTCCACTTTGGTCAAATTCTAATTTGATCCCCAGTAGTCTGTCCGTCTATCTACATGTATACAGTTTCACTTTTGCTGATATGTATGTTTATTCTCCATTGCCTGCCTTCCCTCATTACCTTCACAAAGACAAATATGACTAATAATCTCAAGCAAAACAGTGCTGGATGACCTAAAACCAAACGCAGTTACAAACACCTGTGGGCAACCATGTGGGTGCTGGGAGTCAAACCTAAGTCTTCTGTAAGAGCAGCAAGTGCCCTTCACCACTGAGCCATTTCTTTGCCCCCCCCTCGGAATTTATTTTATTTTATATTTTAATTCTAGAAAAAATTATAGTTCTAATGCAATCCTTTCTTATACTCACAAATTTTTAAGTCAACACAATTAACAAGTCTAACACACTGAAGGGATAGAATTGACAGATAAGTAGAGAATGCCCAGTAATCTGAATACGCATCATAAGTGTGAGTGTGTCTCTGCACACCTTCAACAGTGAAAGGTGCTGCATGGCATGGGTCTGCCAACATTTCACGGCGGATGGGGAGGGGCATGGGAGGCCCCACCCCTTCATGAGGGGACATTAGCAATGACCCGAGGAGAGCAGAATCATTTTCCATGGTAGTACAGCCACTCGCCAGTTGTCTAGGATCCAGGAAATAACAGCCACCCAACCCTGAGTGGCAAAGGGAATTCTTACACCAAAAACTCTTTATCTGAAATTCAGATGCAACTCAGTGTCCAGACGTGTCCTGTCAGTGGCTAAAACTGACAATTTATTGACTCTACACTGGTATACTGTCCGGGACCAGTTCTGACTAGACCTCCACATCACGCTCACATTTAAAAGTTATGACTATCGCTCCTGAAAACAACATTGCTAATCAAATGATTCTTCCCGTTTCAACTGTCTTGTTCTGCTATTAACTTGTAAAATACAATCATCAGCAGAAAAAGAAACCAGGTAAAGCTGCTCCCCGTGTGGTTCCTGTTATAGCCCACCCAACCACACTGTGGCATAACCACTGGCCACAGCGAATAAACTGAGGTTATAACGCTGGCAAAAAAAAAAAAAAAAAAAAAAAAAAAAAAATACTAAAAAAGTATGTGGTTACATTAAAATTAAAGGAGAAAAGCAAATTACTTTTATATATGCAATTACACTCCATTCTAAAAACTAAAAGGTAGCAGGATTCATTTTGCCTACACAGGTATAGCCTACCTTTATATGAAATTTATTTAAACACTCTAGATTGGTAATAAAAATTTTATATGAAACAAACTCCAATGTGCACTGAAAATGTTGACTTTGGACAAAATGATTGCATATATTCTCAAATCTGTACAATTATAGCAAGTATGTACTATCAGAAAAATAGCTTTTTATATATTTGGCCAATAAAACTTAGTTAATTATAAAAATCTAAAAATAAATACTTACTTCAGAACCATTTGGAAAGAACTGTAGTTAAAGGTGTATCCTCCAATGACCCACATGAATTTCCCATGTAAAACTGCTTTATGTGAAGCCCGACCTACAGAAGGGCTGAAGGGTTTAACATTTGGCAAAATCCAGTAAGACTCAGTAGAAGGGACATTCAGAGAACAATCCGGACCTATTTAAAAAAAAAGATAACCACACACACACAACACACTGAATTAAACAAAGATTGTAGATTAAAGAAACAGATAGATTACATGGAATAAGAGAACTTAAAAACCTAATACCCACCATATTAGAAATGTCTGACCGTACTTGGTGGTGCACACCTCCAAAGCCCTCAGTCAGGCTGAGGGACGAAGAGTGAAATCTCAGGGGCTACTGAGCAAGTTCAGCCTGAGCTACACACAGTAAGACCTTGTCCCAAAATCTTCCCTCATGAAAACAGCTAAAATATAACTTGCAAATAAACTCTTAGCAAGGGGAAATATGATCAGATCTTAACATGCTCTAATGAATATCATAGTTTAAAAAATATAAAATTTCATATTTACTTTAGCATGCTACTAGAATATTAATCTACTTCTGTCAATAATGAGGTCACCTTGAACAAATCTGTTTACCTAGCCAATCATTAAGCTTTCATACATAAAGCGGAAACAACAATCTACTCACAAATGCTATTGCAATTTTTTAATATTTCACAAAATAGTATATAGAGCATTTATAAACTATTAGACAAATGTGAAAATAAGAATTACATTATTAAGACCCAAACTGGCTTCAGTAGGTAGGCTCATATATCAACAAAGAAAATAAAGTACAATAAAATAAAAACCATTTTAAAACTATAAAGGGTTTCATCGAATGAAAATCATTATTAGTTAGCGTGTTCCATGCATGGCTGCCTGATCTGGGTCTCCTCAATGTGAGATGCAAAGAGGCTGATAAATATCTCTGGAACCGGAGTCACAGGAGGAACTCCTTCCGCTCCGGTCCTTCTCTCACGTGACAGCTGACATCTGGATGCACTTATCAAGCAGCCACGACTCTATCACGGGCACACCTGGTGGCTGCACTTGGCAGATGCATGTGTCTCAAGCAGAGGCCTACGACCACACTAGCTGAACCAGGTCTGCACCTGCAGTCTTCTGAGTGGTGTCTAAATACTGAGATGAAGGGGGAAGTCCAGTACCTTCCACTTTGTATCAATAGCCAAGTCGTGAGTGCAGGACCAAATTTCTCCAAGGACATGGAAAGAGCCACTCCAGAGAAAGCGGAGGAGAAGAGGTGCAATACCCTTCTGCTAACAGTGCAGTTTGGGGTTTGAATGTAACATCGAAACATTCATAACATCCCTTAAAACAAAACCTAAACCAGAAGCAGAATGCAGACAACAGGAAAGTGTTTGCTCTGCTTAATACTCTGAAAGCTGAGAAGGAAGGAAAGTCGCAAAGTCTAGAGTGAGCAGAGGTTACTGGCTTACAAGGAGTCAGGGAAGAAGCCGGCTCCAGGAAATGAGCAGCAAGCACTAATGTTGACTGCAGGAAGCTAGACACTGGAGACACTCTAGAGGGCTCTGTCATCATTCTGATGCCAGTAAAAGTATCTGAGATTACAGACGAAGGTCAGAATGCCAACATTCACAGGAACTTAAAGGAGACATTTTCAGTCCCATGGATGCTTTCACTACAGTAAATGCAGTAACTGCTAGTCTGGTGGGCACCACAAAAGGACCAGAAGTACGGCGTGGAGATATAACTGAAACACTGCCAAAAAATGAATTCCCAGGATGAACTCCACTGGTAAAGATGCAGTAGACACTTCAGAATGACAAACTTAGAATATTGCTTGGTTAGTCAAGAGCCATGAGAGGACAGACTCCAGTTTTGAAAGAGGCTCTGTTCAGGGGGGCGGACACATTATCAACCAGTACTGTATCAATCAAACTCGTCCTGCAAACTTCACTGACCTCTACCTTTAGACAACCACAGCTACTGCAGTCTCTACCAACGATGGGAGCCATCACACAGGCAAGACCGTCCACCAGCGAAAACAGACTTCTCAGCAACAGCTCAATGACTGCTGTCATTTTGCAGCAAAAGGTTTTAATTAAGATAGGTACATTTTATAATAATCTTATTGTAAATTTACAAGTATAATTGTATATTTATAGTTTTGTATAAATATAATCATGTGTTCTGAGAAACTAGAAAAACACACATAACTTACTATACTGCAATATTTATTTCACTGTAACCGTCTAGAACTAAACTTACAATACCTCCAAGATTACACCTATATTTGATATGTTGGATATATTGTTTTGGTCAAATTAAATTGGTCAAATGTTGAAAGTAAAATTAATTCTTACAGTGCCTCTCATGTCATCGTAGCATACCTAAATTATTTTTGCTATACCCAACATTTTTTTCTTCCACTTATGATTTAAGATGTATACTGAATTCTGAAATTCTCCAAAATGAGAAAAGCAAAATAAGAAAACAACTTTGAAGAGAAGAGCACTGCCTTCTAAGTCCACTGAAAATCTTTTGTTACAGTAGCCAAAATATTCTGCATATGGACTAGGCTCATAAAAGCAATCTCTAAAGCGTTACTGTCTGTTTCAGTGTATTTAAATACCCTTTATCTATTCTAGTAATATTTAACTTTCCAAACAATGAATTGTATGACTGGTGATCATCATTCCATTTATTATGACAAAATTATAAAGTAAAATTATTTACTTTCCAAAATGTCACAGTAAGCATAAACTCTTGCCCATTTTAACCAATGGTTCCTTTAAGTGTTTTCTACAGGGAAAGGGAGATGAGCGCTCTAATGGAGCCTTCCACACTTAAAGCACACTCCTCGGTAGTTTGGAAAACGTCTCTAACAACAGAAAGATCAAAGTGATGACAAATGAAAGAATAAGATGAGCGAGAACAGAGAAGAAAATGCTGTCACCATGCGATACAGAAAACTGAAGTACAGAGCCCAGCTGAGACAGCAGAAGTGCTGGAAATGGAACCCAAGACTTAACTTAAGCCAGGCTCCTCCTTTGTGTGTGCGCTCTTAATAAAATGTCCTCATCCAGAGCACTGGTTCTCAACCTGTGGGTCACGACCCCCAAAAGACCACTGGAAAACTATTTACAGTACAATTCATGACTGTGGCCAAATTACAGTTACTTTGCTGTAATTTTGTAGTAATAACAAAATAATTTTATCATTGGGAGTCACAACGTGAGGAACTGTATTAAAGGGCTGCAGCATTAGAAAGGTTGAGAACCACTGTTCTAGGGAGACATGCTTACTGCTAACATGTGTACGCGTAGATGGCTCACGACACCACTGTGTGTCAGCAGAGTGGACAGGGACAGCACTGGCTTTCCTTTTTCCATATGTTAAGGCATATGCAATTCTGGGAGTTTATGCCGTGCCTTCATGACATACTAGTGAGAACAGAACATAAAAGCAGTAGCGACAACAAGAACAAATATATATAAAATAAAACAAGAGGGAGTATGATGTTTGAATGTCTATAACACCCTCAGAAGAGAAGCATTCCAAAGAGGAAATAATCATGTAAAGAGCGAAAGAGGAGGGGGTGTTTTCAGGTAAGGTTACACAGATATAGTCTCCTTTTGTAATCAAGCTATTAAACTAACATGACAGATAAACTCGGTTTGGAAAGCATTATGTAAGCCCTACTTTGATTTCTTTGGTTTTACTTAAACTACTATAAATAGACAATTACTATAGAATAGGAAAATATTTTACTTCAAAATTTAAGTGGAAAAAAGTCTCAAAGCAATTTATGAGGGTAAGGATACAAAATTTGGAAATGATAGAGTCCTAACATTAATGAACACTTGAAAATGTGCACCTGCCACAACCATAAATAACAGATAACCACTAATAAAATCCTTGTTACTAGAAGTCACTGGTACAGTGTGTACGTGTGTAGTAGGATCAGGGAGAACCACCCTGTATTGTAAGAACACACGTTCAGTGTACCCTGAATTATGTAATTCGTGAGGCCAAGTTCCCTGTCAAAAAGGCATACAGTAGCACAAAGGAAGCTTCTCTGCAAATGTAATCAGCAAAGTAGACTTGATCAGATGATGACCAATAACGATACTCATCTCTTAGCTTAACTCCACAATGAGAAACATATGACTATATACCCACGCGCTTAAGAAACCCAAAACTCTTCAGTGTGGTTTAAATTTAAATTTTAAATTCTTTACTGAAATCTAACTTTTACAACAGGCAGCTAAGTAAACTTTCACTTACTGAAATAGTCTATGCTCTTTTTTAAATATCCACAAGAGGTCAGTCTTCCCTAAGAAATACATTTAAAATGATGCCATACCTGTGAGACACCATTTATTTTCACAATACAGTACATTACCCATTATGAAGTAAATTTGAATACACCACATACTAAATCCGGTGAAGTCATCTAATCTCTGAAAAGTCAACAAGAAAATTACAGAAGATCATAATGATCATATACCTACAATTTTAAGTTTAACGCATAACGTCATTTAATCCTTAAAACAGCAGGTAGACAAGCCTACCAATTCTGTTTACTGTAGAATAATCTTTTTGTACACTGTGAGGATGTGTCTTTGTCAAGAAGCCTTCTGATTGGCTTAATAAAGAGTTAAAAAGGTCAAATGCTAGGCAGGAGGTATGGGCGGGACCTCTGGGCACAGAGAGCACTCTGGGAAGAGAAGGAGACATGGGACAAGTCTGACACAGAATGGGACAGAGGTAAAGGCCCCGTGGTAGAACGTAGAGGGATTATTTGGGAGCTGGCTGGCAGGACAGCCATTACATCTGTTTGTGAAAATGCAGACTACTAAGAAGTTAACAGTTAACTACGGATACCAAAGGAAAACCAACAACAACAAAAGTGAGGCGCAGGCACACAAACACAGACAAACGAAGGCAGAATTCTCAGAGGCCAGCACTCCACACCCTGCGCTTACCTTGCCAGCTGTCATTGCAGACACACAGTTTCTCTCCCGTCAGGTCGCAGTAGCCGTGGTCCGGACTGCCACAGTTGGCTTTACAGTAAGGGATATCACACGCTTCCCCTTTCCAGTACTTATCACACTCACAGTACACTTGACTCGCAACAGACACACTGGTTGTACACTTTCCATGGCCAGAGCAGTTGTTGGGACAAGAATTGATTCTGTAAAACATAATTCACATTCAAATATTCAAATTCAAGAAAAATAAAAATGAGTTGAGTGGCTTATATAGACTTAATTTTCATTTGTGTTTATTAATTTAACAGTTTCACAGCATGGCTTTGTTCTTGAGCCCATCTGTAGAGACAGGGTCTCCTGCCCCAGCCTCCAGGGACCGGCAGGCATGAGCTGTCACTCCCAAGCCCCCTTCAATCCTCTTCACTCAGTTGTTCCCATTTGCAGTTAGTCTCAGTTCATCCAACCAGGTATGTTGTCCCCAAACTCCAGTGTCCAAGGACTACACGTTCAGCTTCTAAAACATCTGTGCAGTTTCAAGTATGATGTTTATAAAGCCTTAAATAAATATTTTTAATATATATATTTTAAGAAAAAGAGAAATTTATGAACTCCTGAAACTTAAGAGAATCAAGAGATGACTTGGCTCTAACCTTAAGACACATGCTACCCCCCCACACATTCAAAAGAGGCATGCTCATCACATTTCATGTTCATGCCCTTTAACGGATTGTATTCTAATATGTATTTACTTTCCCTTGTGTACATATTTGGGTACATTATTGTATTAAGAAAACCCATAATGATTGCTGATTCAAAAGTATTTTAAGTACTTTATTCTTGATGAAATTATTTCTGCTGAGCAATTTCTAACTTCGTGAAGCAAAGAAAACAACTGACAAGCTGTTCTGTGGCCGTTCCTCTAAAAGCACCTGATGGCAGTTCTCATTAGCGCACCCTTAATGTCTAGATACAAAAGGATCTGGATGAAAACAAGTATGTTAAGAGTGAGAGAGACGGTTCATGGTTAAGAGCAATGGCTACTCTTCCTGGGCACCCAGGTTCAATACGCAACACCCACCTGGTGGTTCACAACTGTCTGTAACCCCAGGTCTAGGGGATCCAATATCATATCCTGGCCACGTGTGTGATGCTATATGTGTAAAACGATGCTGGTACTGTTTTCCCTTAATTAATTACTTAATCAATTTTTAATTTTGTAATTAACTTTCCAACCACACAGTTTGCTACCATAAGATCCTCAAGACTTGATAATAATCATCATAAATCGGGCTTAGAGGGCAGTCTGTGGTACAATGCTAATAACTTACATCACTTAGAAAAAGATCCTATATACGTGGAAATTTAATACCAACCCTTTCCTGGTATGTAGGACATTCACATATAAGTTAGGGCTGTTTTACTAGATGAAAGTGGACAAACACTTACGAGTAGAAGATGTTGAAGCCAGTGAGGTTATACGCAGCATCGCTGAAAAAGTGCAGCAGCGCATAGCCAGACGTGGTGACAACCTCAGGCACCGTCTCGTTGCCCCTCACCTCGGGGACAATCAAGCCACTGAAGAAGATCAGAATGGAGAGCTGTGGGTACCCACTGTGACTGCACAGAAAATAGACTCAAAAACAGTATCCATGTCAGAAAGCAGGCAGACTGGAGAGGACAACTACAGGGAAGTACACACCAGTTCATCAATTTCTACCCCATTAGGTAGACAACACTGCTGATAATAAACTAGCACTCACCACCGCAGCACCCTCCTCCCCCACGCCTGCTCCTCTGCCACTACTCTGTCCTCCTTCTCTCCTCCTCTTCCAGTTCTACCTGGGCTGAACTGCTATCCGTCCCTTGGCTCACAGACAGACTTCACTCTAACTGTGGCTGAATAGCTTTCTCCTCCCCGCTGATTACAAAGAGTGATGGAGAAACACTTTAAAGCAGCATACACGCTGACAGAGAAATCTACTCAAAACTATGTGTTCCCAATACGATGATCTAGCTAGCAGATACGTTTTAAATGTGTGCTTTTATTTCTTTAAAATTCTGCTTATTATTAGATTAGAACATAAATATTCCTAAATATTCTCCATCTAGGTCAATAAGTACACAAAAGAAAACATATGGAGAAAGGCAGGGTAAAAAATGTACAAAAAGTTCTAAGTATCAGATAATTCCTCTGTTTGCTTGGTGACTGGTTGGTGGTTTTTGTTTTTCCGGTTTTTTGAGACACTGCAGCCCAGGCTGATCTTGAGCTCACGGTGTCCCGCCTGTCTTAGCCTCTCAAGTGCTGGGGTTACAAGTGAACACTTCCGCTACCAAAGCTCCTCCACCTGCAGCGCCATTCTGCTCTTACTTGTCTCTTTAGAACATTGTAAAATAGAATATTGATATATATCTTCTATATATAGCTTGTGAGATTCACAACGTTTTTCAGATACTCAATTTTTCATTTCTCAAAGTAGTAAAAAAAAATTGCCAAAATTAAAGTAACATTTAGGCATCACTGGTAACTGAATTGTCTCAAACAAATTATATGTGATACAAAAATGAGATTCTAGGGATGCTTTATTTGCAAATACAAACAAAGTAAAAAGTAACCAACCCCTGGCTTATTGCATCTATACGTGTAGTGGAGAATAGACCATTTTAAAAAGAGATGGTCAACAGAATTTGATTTCCACACCACCAGTCTTGGTTTGGGACACATAATACGTCCCAAAGTTGTGTGACTACATCTGCTGTGTAACTTGTCTTGAGGAGACACATACTGACATCTATTCACCGGAGAGGATAAGAGTATTAAAAAACTTTCCAATTATAAACAATCTTCATATTATAATAATATCCTGCCTACAGAATAAGATCCAATTCCTAAGTACAGTGCACAGGGAATCACTATTTGAGTAACTCAAGAATTACATCACGTAGGCGCATGCTGACTCTCTCACTCACCAGACAAACAACTTTGCTACCAGTTCTTGGAACAGAAGCTTCAAATCCCTAAAATTTCTCATGACAAACTGTCTGCTATGCACAGTAGGCCTTGACAGTTTCTGTCAATGTTTCTCTTAAACAGAATCTAAAGCTACGCTTCCAGCTGGGGGAATGGTCACCCAGCAAACCCAGCAACGAGATTGTAGAGTTGAAGTCATCTAGGATCAGCCTGCCTTAGTAACAGAGGAGGGAAGAGTAGAGATATGTACTCAGCTCCCTCATGGACAATGATGCCACAACCCAGCCCACATGATGAAGCAAACAACCAAAACCCAACTCCAGACACCTGCAGCTCAGGTGCGCCTCCAAGTGAATGTGTGCATTGAGGTGCTGGGTGGGAAACACCCCAAGGACACAATGTTTTATGTCTGTCATCATTCCCAATCTCATTCTATGCCTCCCTTTTAGGCTGGTTGCCAATTTCTATTCTTGAGAATAAAACTTCAGCCACAAATACAGCACTTTTCTGAGTTCTGTGAATAATTCTGGAAAATTAGGAAGCATGGGTTCCCTCGGTTTGTGGTTAAATAGTCAGAAGAAAAGATGGGGACATCCTCCAACTTCCAGCTGGTGTCTCCAGTGAGGACAGTCTGTGTGCCCTTCTTCTAGCAAGTTTCACCGTACTCCAGGCCTTGGTGTCAAAACGACCTTTGCTTTATTCCTTACTACATCTTCCAGGCTTCTGACAGACTCTGGTAACTGAGGGAGTTATTAAATGTAACAATTATCCATGTAGTTGGCTGAGTGATAAATATTTATCGTATTCTAATCCTAAAATAATTAAATGCATATTCTTAGCAAAGTAGAGTTTAACACTATATGCTTCTGAATTGAGACTGAAATCCTAATCCTAGCTTATCACCTCCTAGAGGTAAATGATTTCTCTCAGTCTCAATTTTTCAGTCATAAAATGGAAGATAACAGTACTTCAGCCACAAGATTTTAGAAAGGGTCTAGAAAACATTTAAACTGTAGCCACAACACTCGGCATCGAGTGGATGTTCAATAAACCACAAGGTTCCATCTCCTCGGTGTCTTAGACCAAAAGCAACTTGGAGGAAAGAGTTTATTTGGCTTAAATATTCTGAATCAGCCTACTGATTCAGCCAAGGCAGAAACTCAAACTGGACAGGCTCCTGCAGAGGCCATGGAGGGTGCTGCTCACTGGCTTGCCCCTGTGGCTCCTCATGGCTCATCCTGCTCTTTTATAGAAGTCAAGACCACAAGCCCGGAGTGATGCACCCACAACAGGACAGGCCCTCCGTGTCAATTGCTAATTAAGAACGTGCCCTACAGGCTTGCCTGCAGCCAGATCCTAAGGAGGCATTTTCTCAGTTGAGGCTCCCTCTTCTCACGTGACTACAGATTGTGCCAAGTTGGCATAAAACTGTCTAGCTCACTCGGGACAGGTAACAGGAGTGCTTGATGATGAGATTCTCAGTTCCACCTTCACAGGTTAAACCCACGGTAATTATCTCAGGAAAGCTTCCTTCAGTGACAGGAACACATGGGTAGAAATCTGTTAAGTAGGTGGTAATGAGTGCAAACTCATGAGATGACTGAGCAACAGAAAAGATGAGTCGAAATGATAATCAGTCAACAATGACACAAAAGTAATGAAATGGTCACAGAATGCAGTATTAATTGTCAAAATTAAATGTGCAACTATTGTATCTAATTGCCATAATAAATTTTCTAACATAATTGGTTCAAGGGTCTATTAACATTTTTATCTAGTGTCTTTAAACTACTATTTCTAACAACTTTTCATGATGTTCAAAAACCCAGAATGGAAGTTCTAAAGGGCTCGAGGGGCTTCCGGTGACTGAGAGTGCTTGTTGCTCTTGCAGACGACCAGAGCTCAGGTCTGTCCTCCACATACACAGACACACACACACACACACACACACACACACACACACACACAGTCTTTTCTAAAGCAGTTCTAAAGTATTTTCAGCAGTACCATAGGAAACCTAAACTACTTTCTACAGGTATACTCTAAAGCAGTCACACATTATAGAATCACAAAATACAATGGAAATACCAGCCCTCAAATGCTTGATAACAGAATTCCAAGTTATTGAGGAAATAAAATATTTGCAAGATAGTGAGAAGAATGCTTTAAATTAAAATAACTGTGGGGAAAAAGACTTTTAGCTACACTTAACTTTTCAACATTGATAGAAATGAGAGATAATGTATAACAAAGGTAAAGAATAATGTAATAAGCAATGTCAACAATCACGCTGGTTAAGCTAAATACAAAATCTGTATTATACATCCATACTTTCTCTGTAGCTCATATATTTTCCTCCCACTCATAACTGTTCAATAATGCAGTATTACTGCAAAGTTTAAATTAATATTACATTGCTATGATTTCAAAATTAATGTCTTGATAATCTGACTGCTTATAAAATATTATGAAGTGACCTAAATTTCCAAACTTTTGAGAGCTAGTAGAAATACCTCCTTTAAGCCGGGCGGTGGTGGCGCATGCCTTTAATCCCAGCCCTTGGGAGGCAGAGGCAGGCAGATCTCTGTGAGTTCGAGGCCAGCCTGGTCTACAAGAGCTAGTTCCAGGATAGGCACCAAAAACTACAGAGAAACCCTGTCTTGAAAATCAAAAAAAAAAAAAAAGAAAGAAAAGAAATACCTCCTTTATTAAAACCTTTAACCAAGTATAACTTAAACCTGGTTTCCAGAATTTAAATTTCCCCCAGTTCGTATAACAAAAAGACAATTATAAAAGATGCATACACTCATCTATCTGTCAGCCTGAACTCACCCAAAGCCCTCTGAGCAGACATTCAAGAAAACATATTCAAACCAACTTAAAGGAATAAAATAAATGTAGTGAAAATAAGGAGGGTTTATAAAGACATTTATAGTTCCTATAGTATAGTATAGAATTTATTCATATTTATAGCATGTTTACATTACTGTGCATACAATTAAGTAGACAGTCATTGTAAACAGTATTATAATAATCTGTGAAATCCGGCCATCGCCAACTACCATAAATCTGAGTCCAGATCAATACAGTAGGCTTCAAATAAGCAAATTATACAGTTCTTTACTTTCCTATGGCTGTCAATAGCTCATCGGGCAAACATAATCACTCACCTAAGCACAGCTACTAAAGGCGCATATATTGAATCTCCATCATAAACATACATGTGATCCCAGCTGCATTCAGTAGCAAAATGATTGAATCTTAACCTTAACACTGCATTTGGACTGAAAGAAAAAAAAAAAGAAAGAAAAGACAAAGAATCTCCTTAATTTCATATAAAATATAATATTTTTAGAATCAGGCATAGTAATTTTATCAAAAATCTATTACAGATACTTTTTCTACAAATCCTTAAATCACCAGAAGAAAAACTGATATGCTTTCAAGATACTGGTTTCAAACTACACATATCTTTTTCTTAAAACTTCAGTCAACAACAAAAGGCAGACATAGATTGGACTGAGGCAGAAGTTACATACTTTATGTATTTTTTACCTAAACCTTATTAAATTACAACCTAACAGGATGCATTCTATCACAGCGAGCTGTAATAGAGCTGGAGACAACATTAACCACCAGAAGCATCTGATGCAGTGATAGAGAACCTTCAGGTGGAGGCATGAGGCTCTTCCCAGTGTGCTCAAAGGAGTGGTGCACTGAGGAGAGGCAAAGGCAGACTGCGGTAAATAGTAGAAAATAGCTGCTGTGGCTTTAAAAAGACTTTCAAGTATTCAGAAAGCCTGGTTTGCAAACACACTCTGAAAATGGTAAAGCAGCACCAAAGGATCCTGCTGGCTCACTTATGGCCTGCTCAGGATGAACTTTAAATGGTAAACGCCTCATCGTGAAAAGTGCCCAGAGGTAAACAACTAACTCTTCTTCAAGACGTTATGAAAATATTTCAAAGATCCTTAGCACAATTAAAATTTAAAGGGCTATGAGAACTAAAATGCTGAAAAGTATTAACCAATAGCACAGCCCGGCACAGAATGTGTTTACACTCTCTGCAGCATTTGTTAAGTTCCTAACAAGAGGCTTCTCAAAAGCCAAGAGGTCTAATGTGTGTTTAGTCCTGCAATAATATAACTCAAAGACAAAATACGTATTTATCTATTACACTACAGATGTACTATGATTAAATTTTTAAACTTCATAAAAACTATGCATATGTTCCATAATAAACAAGGAAATAAATATATAGCTAGTCATTTTACCTAATTTAACATTAATCATTTACTTTAACACCTCAGAATAAAATTAACTTATTTAGCTAAAATTGTATACTTACTAGCCTTCAATTAGCCATGTACACTTAGTTTTATATTTATAGTTAATGGGACCATCTGTTAAATATCCAGAAGGTTCTGTTAATCTAGAAAAGAAAAATCATGACGATTACTTTAAGGTAGCATTAAGGCAGGCAGTAGCATGTTAAAATTCAAATCACTAGGTCAAAGGACTCAGACATAAGGGGGTAGAGAGATGGCTCAGCAGTAAAGAACACTGGCTGGTCTTCCAGAGGACCCGGGTTCAGTTCCCACCGCCCATACGGCAGCTCACAACTCTCTATCAGTCCAGTTCCAGGGGATCTGACACCCTCACACAGACATGAAGGAAAACAGCAATCAATGCTCATAAAAATCAATAAGTAATTTTAAAAAATAATAATCTGGCATAACGGTTTACAAATTGGAGGCTATATTGACAACCTAAGCCAACAAAAAGAAAATTTTTCTTTTGACAACCTACAACTAAAAAGAAAATTAGTCTAAATTTCTTGAAACTTGACAAACCATGGCCATTTCAACTGACATAGCAGGAAAAGTCAGTGAAAAATGTCTTACTGAAGGGTTCTGTGTTGACAAAATGTTGATTAGGTTAAATTTTATTTCACAAAAACTAGGCTCTGGCAAAAGAAAGAAGATCAAATTCATTCTGAGTGGTGCGGATCTTCAGAGAGAAGGCCCACAGGTGAACCCTTCTCCAGGAAGACGCGGCTGGACCTGGTTTCTAGGCACCCGAATTGTTAAGAAGCCATTGTCATACTTCTGAGCTCTGCTGACTATTTTTATCAGTTTCTCTTGACTGCTTTACACTGTACACCATCTCAACCAATTTTACAAGTATATCAAAATGTTTTTGTTTATACTGAAAATACAAAAACATTGGATTTCTCAGAATCTTAAAATATTTAAGACAAAAACTTAGGTGCACTTACTTCTAAACAAATTAATCAACAAATCTATACTCAAATAATTAAAATATCTTTTTATTTAGTGTTCATATGTATACAAACATACTTCACATGCTTTTGTAGTTACATAAACAGGCACATATGTACCCAGTGGTGTGTATGTGTCTGTGTGTATTGTGTGTGTCTATGTGGTGTGTGTGTGTGTTATGTGTGTGTATCTGTGTGGTGTGTATGTGTCTGTGTGGTATGTGTGTGTCTGCATGTGTATACATATTATCACTCTCTCTGCAATTTAATTTTGCACACAAGTTGTCAGAGCTAACTTTATAACGTAGTCTAGCTAGATTGACCACTCAGTGTGGCTGAGAGAGAACGTGAACAATTAGAGCTGAGCAGTGCTGGCACACATCTTTAACCCCAGAACTCGGAGAAAGAGACAGTGGGTCTCTGTGAGTTCGAGGCCAGCCTGGTCTGCAGAGTGAGTTCCAGGACAACTAGGGCTACAGAGAAACCCTGTCTCGAAAAACAAGAAATAGGAAAAAAGGAATAATTAATACAAGCAATGATCAACACGATGACTTGGGGGTCACGTTCCCTCATTTGTGGCACAGGTAAAAAGCTCTTTAGTTGTAGGAAGTTTACCTTCTCTGGTAAACACAGCAATTTGCGACAGTAGGGAGTCTGAATATGCTCAAGGGACTCCTTGGAAGCAGAATCTCTAAGGGATGCACTGTGCCCATCACCCATCTGGTGCTTCCCACTCCTGTCACCCACTTGCCTACTGGGTGAAAATAGATCTGGGCCCCTCAAATAGTCTTTCCTTGTCAGATGGCAAGGAGTCTGTCAGTAAGCTGGCATGGTTTGCTCACAAAGTGCCTGGAAAAGAATCCAGGTTCCACTGTTCACGCGGCTTGTGTGGCTTTGCCAACACCAAGTTCCTACAAAGCATCACGGCCTGCAACATCCAGGGACCAACAGCCCCCCCCCCCCCCCAGGGCTTCATCTCAGCCAGTTCTTCCAGCAAAGTTCCTACAGCAAGACTCTTTCATGAGCAGCCCCCTCAGTGTCTACAGAATACGTCAAGGCAAGTTCCAGGGGGCAGGCATTGAGCAAGTTTCACGAAGACCAAAGGAACTGTTTCCATTCATTAAGCCACAGCCATGCCCATCAAGCAAGATGTCAACTTAAAACAGTAGGAAGGATTCTTAGTCCCTATGTGCTCTCAGCCATAAGCACAAGGACTGCTTTTAACCATTTCTATTCTTTCAAAGCTCTTTCTCTCCTATTACTCCCATCTCCCTTACAAACCATACTATTTACACAAAGTTTTGTTAAAATTATGACTCTCTTTCCTAACTATATTAAAGCCAAGTACACTAGTACAAAATTCATAAAAAATAAATTGCCAATAACGTACCACTTTTCACCCAACGAAAAACAAAATGCGACAATGTCAAACATTGGCAAAGAGGAAGAGAAGAATTCTCATGGAAATAAGTCAGCACAAGTTTATAGAATAATTTGTTGTTATCTTAATAGTTATAGGCATGTGGTAGTGCAATGGCTGACAGTGGCAGCGCTGTGTTCACACTGTAGTGCAATGACTGACAGCACTGTGTTCACACTGTAGTGCAATGGCTGACAGTGGCAGCGCTGTGTTCACACTGTAGTGCAATGGCTGACAGTGGCAGCGCTGTATTCACACTGTAGTGCAATGGCTGACAGCGCTGTGTTCACACTGTAGTGCAATGGCTGACAGTGGCTGTGCTATGTTCACACTGTAGTGCAATGGCTGACAGCGCTGTGTTCACACTGTAGTGCAATGGCTGACAGTGGCTGTGCTGTGTTCACACTGTAGTGCAATAACTGACAGCACTGTGTTCACACTGTAGTGCAATGGCTGACAGTGCTGTATTCACACTATAGTGCAATGGCTGACAGTGCTGTGTTCACACTGTAGTGTGATGGCTGACAGTGGCCGTGCTGTGTTCACACTGTAGTGCAATGGCTGACAGTGGCCGTGCTGTGTTCACACTGTAGTGCAATGACTGACAGCACTGTGTTCACACTGTAGTGCAATGGCTGACAGTGCTGTGTTCACACTGTAGTGCAATGGCTGACAGCACTGTGTTCACACTGTAGTGCAATGGCTGACAGTGCTGTGTTCACACTGTAGTGCAATGGCTGACAGTGGCCGTGCTGTGTTCACACTGTAGTGCAATGGCTGACAGTGGCTGTGCTATGTTCACACTGTAGTGCAGTGGCTGACAGTGACTGTGCTGTGTTCACACTGTAGTGCAGTGGCTGACAGTGGCCGTGCTGTGTTCACACTGTAGTGCGATGGCTGACAGTGGCTGTGCTATGTTCACACTGTAGTGCAGTGGCTGACAGTGCTGTGTTCACACTGTAGTGCAATGGCTGACAGTGGCCGTGCTGTGTTCACACGGTAGTGCAATGACTGACAGTGGCTGTGCTGTGTTCACACTGTAGTGCAATGACTGACAGCACTGTGTTCACACTGTAGTGCAATGACTGACAGCACTGTGTTCACACTGTAGTGCAATGGCTGACAGTGGCCATGCTGTGTTCACACTGTAGTGCAATGGCTGACAGTGGCCGTGCTGTGTTCACACTGTAGTGCGATGGCTGACAGTGATCACTTTCTCTCATTCCTCCTTACATTTCCATACTTTGGAAATTTCTAAAGTGATTATCTGAATCTTTGTGGAAGGGCTCTCCTCTGGCAGCTAAAACTCATTTTGCCTGTGCAAATTATGAATCTACCCCCTCCCAGGAACAGCTTTTAGAGAACAAACAGTCTAATCTAAGGAACATAACTGCCTCTGGCTCTCCTGCCTTGGCACTGGTAATCCCTAAGTACACCTGTCCCTTGGGCCTCCCTGGGGAACTGGACTCCCACAGTCCCTGTGGTAGGTGACTAGGAGCCCTCTCCTAACTGCCTGTTCTCTATGTCAGTCTCCAGACCTTCCTAAGGCACGGACTGGACCAGCAGAAAAGGCTGCACTCACCAACGCAGGAAGTTTTGGAATATTCATATTAGTACTTCAAAGATTTAGTCTAATAGTAAAGAGTGATAGAAAGCTTGGCGAGAAGGCTCAGTGGGCGAAGGGACCTAGGAAAAGTCAGGCAGCCTGGGTTTGCTCTCCAGGACCACACAGTGGAAGGACAGAGTCAACTCCAACAAGTTATACTTGGACCTCTACACAACCCTCTCTGTCTCTGTCTCTCTCTCTCTCTCTCTCTCTCTCTCTCTCTCTCTCTCACACACACACACACACACACACACACACACACTCACACTAAACCTTTCAAAGACAGTGGAGCAGTCTCCTGCTGTACAAACACAACCATGTGCTGTAGGAAGCAAGGTCCGTGTTGATGCTGCGCGTCAGAAACGAGACAATGCCTGCTCATGGCCGCTCATGGCTTTTGTCACAGCCCTCAAGTCCAGTGCGAAAACTAACATTCAAAACAAAACAAAATAAATAAATAAAAGTCAGTAGAAGCCTGAGAGCTAAGAGGATTCTAATTACATGGACTTGAGAACCTGGAGCCCACGTAGTTTTGGAACCAAGCCTGCAGCAATGGTATCTCAAATCTGGGAATGGAAAAAAAAAAAAAAACTAACTTCTGATTTAAAGGAAGTGGCCACTTGTCCTTTGGCCATAGCACACAAAGCACCAGAACTGAATTAAATCAGTTTAATCAATTAAAGAAAGTTTGCTACAATAACTATGCTTCTAAAATCCATGCCATTCATGTACAATAATAGAAAATGTAAGATAAAAAGCCCTAAATGTCTGGGAATTAAGAAACAGTTTTCTACGCCACGAAGTCCTCTAGAAAACTTTTAATTGACTCATTCTAAAATCGCAGTCTCCTAAAGTCTGTGAGATGAAGATTAAACTAGTGCTTAGCAGAATTTACAGCTTTAAACATGAGTCTTAGAAAACTAAAAACAATTATCTAAATAATAACTCAAGAAACTAGAACACATCCAAAAAGAATTGTAATGAATGAAATCGTAAAAAAAAAACGGAAATTTTCAAAATAGTAAAATCATAGCAAAAAAAAAAACCTATACAACTAAAAAGCATTTTACATAGAATAATAGTTGTTAAACTCCTAACAAACTTGTCAAGAAAGAAAATAAAAAT